TCTCCAGCTCCATTTCTGTCACTGAGTCCATGTTTTCCAACTACTGAATCTTCTTCTCTGTTCCCAACTTTTGCATTCCAGCCACCCATTATTATCAATGCATCTTTCGGGTACACTATCATTATCAGTTGCATATACCTCCTATTTGCCAGTAAGGATGCCTCTTTATTGTGCTCTGAACTCTGGAATTTGGTTCATGAAAATTGTATTTTCTATTGTGTTTTAGCCACCTTGCATTGCACTTACTTTAGCCTATCTAGGCTAAAAACTTAATGAAAAAATTTTAATACTCCTTGCCATTCCCTTCAAGTTATTAACACTTTAGTTTTTTAAGTCAGTGATATACAGAATGGTTGGTCTGGTAAAATCTTACTTGGCTGTCTTTGAACGCTGCTTTTAATAGTTCAAGCTGATTATCATTTACTGAAAGCTTGTTATTTTTTCCTGTTTTGCCTTTTCCCTCTTGTGATCTTTCAGTGTGTCTTCTGGAGGGCAGACTTGTCAAGGCACTGAGGTTCCAACCTGTTCAAAGGTGCTTAGGTGGAAGTTTTGAATTTCTGTTGCTGTTTGGGTCTTTCTTAGCTTTCATTTCCTAAAGGAGGACTGTTTTTATGCAGCCACATTAGTTAAGTACCTAATATGGGCCAGCTAAGCACTGGGAAATTGGGGGAATTAAGAAAGTAGTAAAATAAATTCCTAGGAAATTACCAAAACGTGTATTATGATATAATTATTCTTTAAAGACCAGAGCAGAGCTGATGTCACAAGAATAGCACTTGGAGCTACCTCACCCTGTTAAGGAAAGCAGAGTGGGAACTCAGCCATGAAGCATAGAATAGCTTGTCCTGTGGGGAGCCGGGTTGGAATGGCATGGGTGTAGATCATCTGTTTTGTCTGGGGGATAGAGAACATGAGCCAGTGGAATTGAACCATGAGGCATGTATAAGGATGTTGTGGACCCACAGGACCATAGAGAGGCCCTTGAGTACCAGCTGCCACTGGGTTTTTAAGAATAAAAACTCTGTTGTGGTCATGTGAAAGTTTGGAAACAGATGGGAGTCAAATTTAGAAAGGAATGTGATGGTTGACAGCAGAAGTGACTATACCAACAGCCTCAACAGTGTAAACATGGAAATTTGGGAGGCGCTTTGAATTAAGAATGAAGCAGTAGTTTGAGCTTGGTGTTTAGAAAAAGAGACTTATTTGTGGGTAACAGGACTAAAGAATAGATTTTTGAACCCAGTTAAGCTAGTGCTTGGAATATTATTTTATATCCAGCTGACACTTGACATGCCCCACTTTTGCTATAGGATGAGCTCACTGCTAGCCCAGAATCTTGGGGAAGATGAAGCTAAGCCACAGTCTGCTCCAAATACCTGCTACTTGATCTCCCTTGTAGACAGCAACTTGGAAGCTGTAATGTATATTACTCTGTTATTTGCCTCAGAGGACTTTGCCACTGGGTTTTGACACATCTTGGCCTGAGAAAATAACAAATTAGTTTAGGAAGCCTCCTTTCCACTCCTTCATCCCTCTGCAGTACTCTGGTCGCTTGGTCACTTCTTCTTTTTCTTCAATTTGGTTAATCTTTAAATGAGCTAAATTAATAAATGAGAATTCTTTATTTGGATATGAGGTTCCCCTATAAAAGGGATTCTTAAGGAGTGAAGTGCAACGATGACAGGCTCCAGCCTAAGGTGCGCCTGATCCAGGCTATAGTCTTTGCAATTACATGCTATGCACTGGAGAGTTGGACAGTGAATAGGGATGATAGAAAAAGAACTGATGCCTTTGAGTTGTGGTGCTGGAGAAGAGGTGTTGACTATACCATGGACTGCTAGGAGAACAAACAGGTTTGTCCTGGAGAGGGTGAAGCCACAATGTTCCCTGGAGTCAAGGATTCTGAAGCTTCGTCTGACATACTTTGGGCATGTTGCAAGGAGGGACTGGTCCTTGGAGAGGGACATCATGTTTGGGAAAGTGGAGGGACAGCACAGTAGAGGAAGACCCTCGATAGATGGATCGATTCTGTGAGTGGAGTGGTGGGAATGAATGTGTTTGAGATAGCCAGGTTTGCACAGGATAGAACGGCGTTTAAGGTCGCTGTGAGTTGCAAATGACTCGATGGCACATAACAACAAGGAGTGGGTAGAAATTAAGCCAACATTTTAACTTTTTTTAGAAAAAAATCTATATTCTGTAGATCTATGTTTTATGCATTTAAAATCCTTGCTCTGTAAAAGTCCGTAACATATGAAGAGTTAAGAACCACTGTTCCAGAGTGTGGATCCAAATAAATGAAAATTGGAATGAGACTTGTACCTTTAGGCAGTTTCCAGATTCACAGCTTTTGCTTTGACTCTTGTAGTCACTTTTGATATTACTGCTGGACAGAAGAGAGGGTGGAGTTCCTTTAGGGACTTTGAGGTGAGCCAACCAAAATGGTCTCATTTCAGAACTGGAGCCCAGGCAGTCGGCCCAGAAGAGCAGCTGGGAGCTAAAGGATGGCCTGACCAGCAGCCCAGGCCTGGCAATCCTGACTACAGCCTGGAAATGTCCAAGAACTGCCAGAGGCCTTTTTAACACTGAGAGCCCAGAAAACAGAATCCATATACAGGCTCAAGTTCTATGAGGCAGCACAGTACAGTGGGATTATCAGGCCATTGGAAATCCCAGTGCTCAGTGCCTTCATCACAGACTTAACCTTCTCTACCCACAATGTGAAGCTTTCCTGATGCTGTTGTCATAGGCAGACATGGCAGAAGACAGGTGTACCATTAGGCCTCACATTCTTCCACTTTCATTTTGATTTCTCTATTTTAGGAAAAAGGCTTGCAAATACTTTGAGCAAGGCAAGGGGATCTGCCCATTTGGATACAAATGCCTTTATCGACATGCTTACCCTGATGGGCGGCTTGCAGAACCTGAGAAACCCCGGAAGCAACTTAGTTCTGAAGGCACCGTGAGGGTAAGGACACTTAATGTGGGCATTTCTAGCCACTGTTCCAAAGGCTTTAGTAGCAGGGATTGGGGGGAAGCAAAAAGAAAATGCAGCATAACTTTCAAGTTGCTGCTGGCAGTAACAAAGCAAGCTTTTTGGTGTTTTTGCAGTTTTTGAATTCCGTGCGGCTGTGGGACTTCATTGAAAATCGAGAAAGCCAGCACATCTCCAACACTGAAGACGTGGACGTGACTGACCTGGGGGACCTCTTTATGCACCTCTCTGGAGTCAGTTCTTCAGAGCCTTAAGTTAGATGGCCATTCCTGTGTCTTGGGCCCTGCAGCACCAAGAGGCGTGTTACTGGGTTTTGAGTGGGGCTGTGCAGAGCCTTGGTTTTGTCTGCGCTCCCTAGTCACAGCCATGGGCATAGTGACCGATAAAAAAGAACCTACAGGTATATGAAATGGCAATTTTTAACACTGGTATGTTAGCTGCACTTTAGGCTCTTTAAGGGAAGTAACTAACCATTCAGACTAAATCCTGACCAGCTGCTTTCACCACAACCCTGTACTGCTTGATCTTCTTTTTCCATACCAACGGGTAGTTCTTTACTCCTGGATTAGTAGTATTCTAGTCGGTTTCACTATATAAATAGTGTGTGGTAAAAAAATTTGACTTATACACAGCTTTTTAAGAAAAAAGAAATGAGTTTTTCACATCTATAGTATAAAACTAGAACACAAGAGCTCTTCACCTTAAAATATGAGCTTTCATTTGAGTTCTCATAAGTATAAAACAACCAGTTGATATTTTCAGAGAAAAGCCTTCCTAAGTACCCCAACACTAAATTGTGTTGTATAGTAAAACCTGGAAAATGAAATAGGACTTACTTATAACAAGAACAGCATTCTTGCCATGTTTCAGTAAGCAAAGTTGCAGTGTAAATCTTTCCCCCCCCCCCAAGGGAAGCTCTTGAAGGTAGCCATGGGAGGCAGAGTGGTAGTACAGGCCCTACTGCTGGATATGCTTGGCCGAGGAATCTTTACGTACATTCCTCCAAAGGAAATAGCCAGCTCTCATTATTGAGCTCATCTTTGGGGCAAAGGTCTGTTAGCCAGCCTAATTGTATTGAGGCCTCCACAAATTTGAGATTTTGGGTGATGGATATGGAGTTAATACTCAAACCATTACTTGTAAAGCCTTATCTTACTCTGAAATTCCATAACATAATAATAGAACCCTAGGTTTCAGGTTCTGTACCCTGCAGAGATCTTGAAAATAACTGAGCATGTATGTTTCATCATCAGTCGTGATCTTTAACTGAATGAGGAGCATTCAGAATATATCTCTTTGTAATAAGCTGTTAATACCAAATGTTTTTATAAATGTGGGTACAAAAAGGTTCACTTATATAAGGCTTTTTCTTAATTTACCAGTAACTACTTAGTTTTAAAATTCACTCCCAGGCTGTGCTCTGGGCTCACTTCCTGCTTCAGAGATTACTAATTTGCAACTCATCCCTTTTCAGGCAAATGGTGTATCAGATTATGAGCTCAGTGGTCTAAACTTAATGATGATTTATTTAAAAGGAGGTAACAGTCATTAAACCTAATTTTAATTTATTTTATTAAAATAACATAATTGAGGAATCATAGTAATTTTATCAGGTGCAATAAAAACAAACTTAAAATCCAAATTATCATGAAAACCTTGCTTCCTTTGCATGCACACATGAAGTGATTAGAGACATGGCTGGCCCTGGGGCCCCGCCCCATAGGGGCAGCTCCTGAAGACTGCTCCCTGAGAGGGCAAGCCACTTCATCTGGGGATCATAAGCGGTGCGAAAGGAGGATGTGTCCAAGAAGTTCCATAGTACCAAAGCAGATTCCTTCAGGTGGCCAGGCTCTGAATAGTCCTGGTGTGTGTGATGTGTTCCATGTCAAACTACCTTTTTGGTGTCTCACCACTATCTCTTTGAAGAAAGTCTTTTCTGTGATACGTATTCCTTACAGGAACTTATTACAAAATCCACATGTTCTCACATTAGGACTAGACTTCCTAAAACCTTCATGTCCCCCTCTTGCATAATCTTTTTTGGCCCTAAAGTACTCATTTAGCCATAACTAGAGTCCCCAGATGGTGAATTACCTCATCATCCATCCACTTACTTGTGCATCTGAAGAAGGGTTTGCTAAAGAGCATGTGGGGAGAGGAGAGCAGGACAAACCAGTGTGATAAATGGCTTCCTTCTCCCAGGGCCAGAAAGGGTAGAATAGAAGGCAAGATGAAGTTAAAGCCCTGTGAGTTGTTCAGGTAGTCCTTAGCAGCAGTTTCTCTGGGTTCTGTCCCATAAACAGGGAGCAGAAAAGTGGTGCCTACTGACTTCCATTCATGCCTTGGTGGCCTGTGTGCAAGAGGTAAGTCCAACTAGAAGACAGGCAGTCTGGGGGATGTGGTCATTGTGCAGGCATTGATGTCTTCAGTGTGGGCAGCCCGGTGCAAGGATGGCTCAGAAGCACTCCGGTTGATTTTTGGTAGAGAGTGCTGGAGGAGCTCAATGGAAGACAAGATCTGAAACAGTGCCATAAGGTGGTTTGATTAGGTGAGATTAGTGTGTCAACAGCAGTTTTTAATTAGGTTCAAAGACCTTTTTTCTATTCCTCCTCCTAGAAAGCCAACATATACACACAACCAGTTTACTTCTATAATTGAGAACTCTTTTCAATCTTTCTTACCTGGGGGAAAAGAGGCCTTTCTTCCTTAACTTTCTTCACACAGTCAGCTACCAGCCTCTTCATCGCTTTGGGGCAATTCTTATATAGCTTACTAAGATCTGGGGAGGCATACCCTCGACCAACCATGAAGATGATCTAAGGAAGTAAAAAAGTGACCAGTAAAAGTAACAAATTCCAACCCTCTTGCTTCTTAAGTTGGCAAAAGGCTCATTCCCTCGATGAGTTACTGCCCTACTCCCAAAAATACTGGTCAGCATATACCTACCTGATCCCGGTTGTTGATGTGAGAATATGGAAGCTCCCCCGTCATCAGCTCATACAATACAATGCCATAGGAGTAGACGTCTGACTGGAAGCTGAATGGGTTATTGTCCTGCATTCTTATAACCTCTGGGGCCTAAAAGGGGCAAATGATAATTACCCTCTGGATCCCTCAGCCATCCAAGGACCACTTTTCCTTCCATTAATTAGTCCTCAACCCTATTAGTTAGTTGTTCACTAAAGGGCACTGACCGAAGGGATCCTGCCCTTTCCTATCCACTTATTAACCCCTTCATTTCCTTCTAGAAAATCCACAGTGTTCCCTGGGTTGTCTGATGCAGGGAACCTGTGGTGGTCTGCATACATGGGAAATGATTTCTAGCTTGATATCATATATCATACTATATTCTTCAGGACATTCTTTTCACCCTTTACCAGAAGATAGCCAGCCAGAGCCTAGGTTCCTCACCATCCACAAGACTGAGCCAGTGGGCTGTTCAACCTGCTGAGAACCACTCCATCGTGACTTTACTGTTGCCAAACCAAAGTCTCCAATTTTCACAGTTAGGCCTTCATGGAGAAAGATATCTCAATGCTCGTTAAGGACTATAGTTTCAAAACAATGGTCAAGTTTACTTTGAAAAACTCTAAATTCTTTTTGGCATAATAATCTTACTATACCTCCCATCTGTCCAGTATTTTCTACACTGGATTTGCAAAAGTTGCTGAAAATGTGAAGTGCTTCTGAAATTCCCCTTCTTCCATGAGGTACACAGGACCATTCTGTGTGCTGGATTACATGACACAAACCAGAAACAAACTGAAGTTACCCCTTCCTCTCTTTTTTTTTCTGCATGTACACCTCTAGATGCTGACACCCTGGCCTTGTAAGGCCACCTGTAATAATGCCCAAGACTCTGAAGAGCACAAGCTGCCACCAGGTGTCCATTCCTCAGAGGTCCTGGCTTGAGCCACTGGTTGTTAAGATTCCAGTATGCCCTACATTCTGTTTTCAGAGAACTTAATGAAACTCAAATGATACAAAATGGCAAATCTCCTTATTAGCACTGAGTAGAACATGCTTATGAATGTTTTTGTAAAAAATTTTGTGTGAATAGGAACCACTCGGTATATCAGAAGAAGTTATCTTGTATCTGGGGAATGCCAGGTTGTTTTTTTAAGGCAGACTTGAGATTTACTGATCCCTTGTAATTAACATCTCAAAAGTCTTGTCTGTTCCCCCAAAACCCACCACTGAGAAGTATTCTGTATCAGGCTATATCCAGTTTAACCCAACACACTTTCCTCCTGTGAGCTAAGAAGCCAAGTATGGCTGCAACATTCCACTCCTTCCAAAAGGAAAGGAGGCAGATTTAAGAAAATGCAAAGTTTATGCTTGATAACATTTAGAACTTTTTGTAGCAGTGACCTTTTAAGAAGCCACTTACTAGGAAACACAATTTTAAATAATTTTGAAATACTTCCAACATTTGGTTAACAGCTACTTTCTGCCCAGATAAACACACATTGTCCATAAATTAGAAAGAAAAATGAACTAAAAAGAATTCAAGCCAAAGGCAGGAGTACTAATACTAGGCCTATTTTAAACTTAAGTAATGATGATACGTCCCACTGACTCTGAGCAACTGTAGTAACAGATCTGGACCTTGATTACTACATCCTTCAGCCCATTATTAGAGTCACTGTGTCAGTCCATCTTGTTGAAGGTCTTACCCTTGCTACTATTACTAGCATGAGATCTTTCAATTTTTGTGGAAAATCTTTAGAGTCCTTTCCCTGGCTTTTTTTAGGATAGGAAGGTGGCCTGCCTTCATTCATCATAGTTAGGTGAGAACTGCTAAAACACACCAATCTCAAATTGTACCTCTGTTTGAAAAACTTAATTTCCGATTTTATTTCTTCCTAATTTCTCCTTTTCCCTAAAAAGACCTCCTATAGCAGCATTAAGGATCACTAGTGAGAAGACCTTTCTGTTTACCTAAATTAAAATCTGAATAATGAACTAAAAGCCAAAGGATACTGTTGGATTTCATGTCTCTATGGATGATATTCTTTGCATGCAAATAGCTGTGAAAGGAAAATAAATCTATTAGAACAGCTTAGAGACACTGATAAGCAGTTTCCAACTATCACAAATAAAGATACAAAATACTAGAAAATCTAGAACTTTGAAACCACTATCCAAAACAATGTGCTTACATATGTACGTGTATGTTCTCTTGCAGGCAAGTTCATATACATATAAAGCACACGGGGACACAGGATGGATACTTCTTAAAACTGAACATTTTCCAGTATTGGTTTTCCAGGTTTGACAATTTAGGACCACAGTCTAATGGTACAACTTAGTCAAGTGACATTAATACAGTTCACAAAATTGTTCAACATCCACTTTATTTATAAGTAGCATCTAGGGTCTTAAAAGCTGTGAGCAGCCAACTAAGATAGAACTATTGTTCTTATCTCATTTGGAAGATAAGTGAAAGAAAAACACCAAAGATTGAGAGAAGAAATTAAGCTGCAGAACTAACAGTCTACATTAATCACAGCTTGAGACTAGAAAAACTAGATGGTCCCAGCTATCACTAATGCCTGAGTGGTGCCACAATAGACGTCATTATGTGCTGGCTAACTGGATCCACCTCATAACTGACCCTTCAGCAGGTTTTCAGAGGCTGTAAATCGCACACGGGAAGGGGAGCTCTGGTGGAGAAACTGCACTGCAATCCCAGAGGCATATGGTTTGAATCCACCAGATGCTCAGCTGGAGAAGAAGGGGCAGTCTCACCTTGTACCAGTCAGATCCAATTTGATGGTACACACACACACACAAAATAATAAAATTTAAAAAAAGAAAAATCGCACAGGGGATTACCCGTCTTCCTTCCACATTGCAGCTGGTGGATTTAACGGCCTGTCTTTGGGACAGCAGTGCAGTTATGACCATGGACCTTGATAAAAATGGGAGAAAAGTGTGGAGCAGAACTCTTAATTCTTAAAAAGCCTGGATTTAACCGGAACATTTGAGACTTAGAGGACTCACAGAGACTACTACCATGAAACTACCCCATAAAACTTGAACTGAAGTATTTTCCCTGATGTTGTCTGTTGGCTAATTAACAGTATACTACTTACCCATTAGCTAAATAGGGAGTTCTGGTGGCTGAGTGGTAAGGACCTGTGCTGCAAACTCAAGACCCATGGTTCAAATCCACCAGCTGTAGGAAAAAGCTGGGCAATCTCCTGTGAGAAAGCCTCTGAAAACTCACTGGAGGGTCAGCTATGAGTTGGTTTGCAACTTAGGGGTACATCACAGCAACAACATTAGCTAAATATTCATTGCTGATGAGTTGGAACTGACTCATAGTGGACCCTCTAGTGGGTTAAGGTTGAAACTGCACAGGAGATAGCTCATCTTTCTCCAGCTGAGAAAGCTGCCATCAGAGCTCCCTAGTAAGTAATATATTTTATATACTGAAGAATAAAGTGAGTATTGTATACCTTGTTAAAAATGACCTATTTCAGACTAAACAGTCAACAATTAAAGAAGAAAAGTATAAGGCAAGAGGGAAATCAGATTATTGGAAGCAAAACATCCAGAAGCAAACTAACGGTACTGTTAAAATGTAACAAATGTCTCCAATTTGTGAAGGTGACAGTAGTGTGTAAAGTTGAGCTGGAACTGACCCATAGCTGACCATCGAGGTTTTCAGAGGCAGTAAATCACATAGGAGGTGACTGCCCATATTTGTACTGCAGATCACTAAGCCATCAGAGTTCCCAGTTTGTGTAGCAATGAGAACCCAATTTTCCCTGTAAACTTGCACTGAAAAGACAATTTCTTAAAAAAATGTGTACACAGAGAGATGCAAAGCCACAGGAGGGCCTTGTTTCCAATGACTGAATTACCAAAATGTTATAGACCATTGAGGCAGAACTAACTCATGGCTGACCCTCCAGCAGGTTTTTCAGAGGCAGTTCGCATGGGAGGACTGCTCACTTTTCTCCTGTAGAGCAGCTGGTGGATTCGAAACACGTACCTGTTGGCAGCGCAGTTCCTTACCACTAAGCCACCAGAGCTCCCTTCTATTCATATAATGCGGCAGTATTCAGACAAGGAAAGGAATAAAATACTGATCAGTGCTCCAACATACTAAGTACAAGCAGTCAGTTACAAAAGGCCACACAGTGTATGACTTTGTTATAGACAATGCATAGTCAACACTAGAAAGCTGCAGTGGATTACCAAATCAAAACCCACTCCTATGATACTGATTCTGATTTATGTCAACTCTACATCAGTTTTCTGAGGTTGTAAACAGAAGCATTTTGCCTCACCTTTCTCCTGTAGAGTGGCTGGTGGATTCAAACTACTGACTTGTTAGCAGGCCAATACATAACACATTACAAAACCATGGCTCTTTTAAAAAGTAGAATGTCAGATGCAATCAAGTTGACAATGACTCATTGGGACCTGGTGAACAAGAGATCTAAACTCTGCCTTATTCCTGGTATCATCTTCATCTTTCATATACTTGAGTCCCTTATTACAGTCACTGTGTCAAACCATCTCCTTCACTGACCTTCCACCTTTTAAAGCATGTCCTTCCCACAGATTGCCTCCTTATAACGATGCCCAAAGTATGTCAGACGAAGCTTCACCATCTTTGCTTCTAAAGAGCACCCTGGCTGCACTTTTTCCAAGTCTTCTGGAAGTTCATAGAATATTCAGTACTCTTCTTCAACTCCACAACTCAAAGACATTGATTCTTCTGTCATCTTTAGTCATTGTCAAACTTTCAGATGTGTGGCAAGTAAATGAAAAGATGGTGACTTGCACCTGGTGGACTTCAGCCTATAAACTGACATTCTTGCCTTTTAGCACTTTGGAAAGCTCCTTGACAGAAGATTTTCCTGATGCAACCTCTAAATTTCTTGACTATTGGTAACAAGGGTGTTGACTGTGGATCCAAATATGAAATAGCTGACAATTTGAATCTTTTCTCCATCTATCATGATGTTGCCTACTGGGCCAGTGTTAAAGACTTTCTTTTTCAGGATGTTGAGATGTAACCCATATTGAAGAGTGTAGTCTATGATTTTCAGCAACAAAGAGTTTTAAGTCTTCCTCACTTTCAGCAAGCAAGGTTGTGTTGTCTGCATAATGCACACTGTTAAAGACTTTCTCTAATAGTGATGCCACATTCTTCTTAAATGATTGATTAGTGTGGAAAAAGAATATAGTCCTGAGACACAGCTTTCTTTATTTTAAACCATGCAGTGTACACATGCTCTGTTTGGACAAGAGCTTCTTCGTCTAGGTATAGGTTTTTGCATGAACATAGTTAAGTGTTTGTTCTGGGATTCCTATCCTTCTTTATGCTATTCATAATCTGTAATTTCATATTCAAAATTTTCTGCCAACATCCTCTGATATCAGCCCTTATACCACAGTCTCTTCTAATTACAATTTTAATTTCTAGTAGTTCTCTGTTGATATACTCTTCCAGCTGTTTCAGAATAACCTTCAGCAAGACTTAACTTGCATGTGATATTAAAGATACTGTTCTGTAATTTTCAAATTCTGTTGGATCACCTTTTTTGGGAATGGGAACAAATCTGGATCTAGTTCAGACAGTTGGCATAGCCTAGTGAGTACATCCAGGGCTGCATCTGTTTGTTAAAACCTATGAACTGGTGTTTCATATGTTCCTGGGTCCTTATTTTTTTGCCACTGCTGTCAATGCAGTTTGAATTTATTCATACATTCATCATGCTCATTGGTTCTTCATCATATACTATTTTCTGAAATGGTCTGTGTCAGCCAATTTTTTTTTGTTGGTACAGCAACTCTGTGTATTCCTACCATCTTCTTTTGATGTTTCCTGAATCATTCAAGATTTTGCCCATAGTGTTGTTCAGTATTGCGACTTGAGGTTTGAATTTGTTTTTTAGGTTCTTTTAGCTTGAGAAATGCTGAACGAGTTCTTCCCTTTTTATTTTGTAACTCCACCACTTTAGTAGAGCAATGTTTGCTAATCTAATTAGTTTAATAATTAAATTTTATAACTGTCCAATTCTGTGACTTTACTAAAAAACAAGTAACAAACACAAACTAAAAACCCCACTTAAGTATTTTGAGAGGATGAATTTTATGGCATATGAATGAAATCTCAACAGAAAAAAGTGATTCTGACTAGTTTTCTTATGCGTGTGTAAATTCAAATGCCATCTGAATTTTAGGAAATTTTTTTCAACACAACTGGGGAGCTCCTGCTTCTCATATTAAAAAAGGTACTAGGGTAATTTTGGAAACACCATTGTTGGTTATCAAGAAAGCAATCTACTTCCTCATTTTGTATTCAATGTTATGCTATCACAGAAACACAGAACGTAGTAGTTAATGGAGGAGCTAAGGATGACTTCTAAGCAGTCTTTAAAAGGTAAACAAATGACCTAAAAATAACATGTGATCAAACTTTCTCATGGGCCAAACAAAACTGTTATGGGCGTGCCCTGAAGAGAGCACTGCTGTGAATGCTCAAGCTGGATCACCTACTGTCACGCGCTTCTCTGGTTGAAGCTTTCAAGCAGCAGCTGAAAATGGAATCAGAGCCCCAAAAACACCACCTTCATTTGAGAAAGGAACCAGAGTACCTCATTCTTACTAAATGGTCTCCTCCAATCCAACTAAGAGGCTCATTTTTAATGTAGCAAAAATACCTGTTCTGATCTAGGGGCAAGTCAGTGTTCAGGCACAGGAGCCTTCATCAGGTCTTCTACTCACTCCATTCCCTGAGCCGTCTGCCGGGCAATGTCAATCAACTGGAACATCTGAAACTTGGTCTCCTGGACATGCAGGTGTTTGTAAAGACTACTGCCTTCACACCACTGGGTCACAATTGCCAAGTTGTCCTTTGTCATGTACCCCATGAAGAGCAAGATGTTCACATGCCGTGTTTTGCTGGAGATGGAGGGGAGAAAAAAGGCTCTGAAATTTTAAGTGCCTCAGAACTGCACTCCAATGACACTAAAATTTTTATGTTCCGGATGCGACCACTACACTCACAAACTGAGGGAGTAGCAAAGCAAACAAGACATCTGAGAAAGTTGATAGCCAGCACTAATCCAACTTGATGCTAGCTGGTCTTGTTTACGAAAGCGAGAGACCCTAATCAGTATATAGTCATGACTCTCTTCCAGTAGGGTTCCCAGGACCCCTCCATCACTATTTGATTCATTCTTTTAAGTCTCTAAACAGTAACTCAAAGATTTGAGAGCTAAAGGTAACTTAAGTCCAGACTAAGGCAGCAGATCTATCAAAAGGAATCTTGGAAATAAATGTGCAGTAGAACCTATTTCTCCCTACTTCAAAACCTAGACTATTGACTGTACTCAGTGAAATTAATGGATGAGGGTGTTCTCATGAAAAGAAGCTCAGCTAAAGATCTGACTGCCACACAAAGGGAACTGAATCACTCCTACAGGAGGAGCTTTCAAAACAAGAAAGCCACAATGAACTTAAAACTATCTGGCAGTCCTAGCTGTGATGGCACCCTGTATTACTCTCCCCATCCTCCCACTGCAGGAGCTGGAGAGACCAGCTTTCTACTCACCGCAGGACAGCCACTTCATTCCTAAAGGCCTGGAACTGCTCTGGTGTTGGGTCAACAACCTTGAGGATCTTGACTGCAACATCTCCTGCAAATAAGTTTGTAGTTAGGGAAACTGGTTGAATGACTACTGTGTTATTTTTCAAATATCCTAGCTTAGAGAATATACAGTAAACAACTTGTTTAAAAAAAATCATACACTCACACAGATGAAACAAATCTGCAAATTGAAAATAATTCAACTCGCTAAAAAAAGTTAAACAGTTATCCGCTCTCCTTAAATACCACACCATAGGCAGTCACCAGGATTGCTTTAAATAACTTCCTAACAACTCAGACATCCTTTGAGGTGAAACCAGGTGTGGTGGAGTCAAAAGTCCTAGTCTGAGAGGAAGCAAATATCCATAGTTCATGAGATGCAAGATAAGCCCTTGTACGAACTCAAAGATTAGTATTAAAAATGAGGGCTTTAAAAAAAAAAAAAGGGCTTCAGATCAATTTTTTTTCCAGTTCGATTCCCTAAGAATTTTCATTCCAGACACTGTGAACTAGCATTCTACATTTTAACAAGATTCTCAGATGATTCTTAACGTTTCAAAGTCCTGATTAAAAATTAACTAAAACCAAGGACTATAAAATTCATTACAGAAAAGCTAGGAACAACACCAGAAGTCCTAATCCACAACATAAACAGTCTTCCCAGTATCCTGGAAAAGCTACAACCAGGAGAAGATAACATAGATGAATGGGACCTTCTAAGACT